ATATTAACATTTAGTGAGAACATCTGGACAGTTAAATATGGGAAGCCGCATTTTTATTTAAATAAATTAATAGTAGTAGGCTCAGAAAATTTAATACGGCTCTGTAAGGTTAACCGTGGTGGATTACCAATTTCGTACTTTGCCGTATTACTTCCTGAGATCAAAGTGCCGACAGACAGTAGTTTTACTGTGGAACCTCTTTATACTGTGCTAATGGGACATATATTTACTATCTGTCAATGTCAAAATTAAAAAAATCTTACGCAAAATTACGATTTTAACTCCGTTTATTTAGTATTTAGTAACAAACGGAACTTACATTCACAGGCGTAGAGAGTGTAGTCAGAATCTAAAACGACTTTCTAAGACCCTTTTATTGTAAAAAGGGACTGAGACAGGGAGATGGACTGTCGTGTCTCTTATTAAACCTTGCACTAGAAAAAGTAATTCGAGAGTGCCTTATTAATACGAATGGCACCATCTTTAATAAATCTGTACAAGTGGTCCAATATGCAGATGACATAGACATTATTGCTAGGTCCACAGAATCTCTGATCGAAGCATTTCAATCATTAAGGGCGTTTGAACTGAGAATGGGATTAAAAATAAACGCACAAAAAACCAAGTATATGTATTGTACTAGATCAGGCAACCAGATACCTAGACTATTAATTGATGACCTGGAACTGGAAAATGTGGACACCTTCGTCTATCTAGGCTCGCTGCTGACCAAAGACAACAATGTCAGCGAAGAAATTAAAAGAAGAATAATGCTTGCCAATAAGTGCTATTATGGCTTGAGGAAACAGATGGCCCCAAAACTACCTAGAAAAATTAAAGTTACCATATATAAAACACTAATAAGGCCATTGTTAACATACGGATGAGAAACGTGGTCACTTACACAGAACGACCAAGAATTGCTTAAACGTTTCGAGAGAAAAATTCTAAGGAAATTATATAGTGAAGTCCAAGAACAAGGTTTGTAGCGAACGCGCTACAACTTTGAATTATACAGTTTTGGGGAACCTGACGTTGTAAAATTTATTAAATTAGGACGCCTTCGATGGATAGGACATGTAATTATGCGAGATGAGGATGTAATGATCAAAAAACATTTTCGACGGCAGAGGACCAGTGGGAAGACGAGCCAGAGGAAGACCAAAACTTAGGTATCAAGATAACATAGAGGTTGATTTAAAATCCGTCGGAGTTAAAGCATGGAGAAGAGTTTCCAGAGACTAAGGCGAATGGAAGATTGTTCTGAAGAACGCTTTGGCTCATAACGAGCTGTAATGCCACTGATGAGGATGATTTAAGTAACAACAGTGCAGCTGAAAGGATTTAGTCAAAAAGGTAAAAATAATATCGAAAATCTTTATATATTTTAAATATATTGATGCAATGAAGCAATCATTGACAAAAATAATCACTGCGAAACAAAAAAACAGAAAAAAACTGCGGCATTCATTTTGTTAATGGTTCTTAATAAACACTTGTTTCAGATATACAAAGTATGCATTTACTCTTTTATATTGACTCTGGTTTTGAGATATTCGAATTATAAGAAATACATGAAAAAATTTAAATTACAATCGTATAGTTGTAAAAATTTAAATTACCCTCGTATAGTTGTATCATTGTATTATTCCCAACTTTACTAATATATAGAGAGGCAAGTTATTCATAAATGCATGCTTGTTGTTATGCAAAGACTAGGTAATTTGGGATTTGCAGCGTACTTAAAAATATTAGCCAGCGATGGTTCGCGGTGGTAAACGGTTAACAGGTGCGGCAACTCTGTATGCAACACGTGCCAACCCAGTCTTTATGACACGCGCATAGGTCTTAGAGTGCCGATGATGTGGACCGAGCCAACCAATCATTTGAATGACTGCTACTTTTTGTGCAGTGAAAGTAAAGGTATGAACCGGCACAAAAAACGTACTTGGGTTTATCCTAATGTGAAATCTGCTAAACGCCCAGTAATGCACAGCGATGATTTGCCAATTCCAGTATTTTCAGGCCATCTACTTCAAACGCTGCAGATGTTGAAATATTAAAAAATTAGTAAATCAGACGGATAGCAGTGAAAGTGAGTTCGAAGAAAGTAGTTCTACGAAACATGGATTTTCTCAGGAGGAGCTCAATGACTTGGTGCGTGATTTGAATTTATCAAAAAAATCGTCTGAAATTCTGGCATCCAGACTAAAAGAAAAACACTGCCTTCAACCGTGTGTTGCAATTACGTCCTTTAGGAGTCGAGAACGATACCTTCTTCTTTACTTTATCGAAGAAAACAATCTCATATTTTGTAACGATGTTGCTGGACTCTTAAGTTGTATGGGCCTTCCCGAATATAAGCCTGAACATTGGAGGCTTTTTTTAGATAGCTCGAAAAGAAGCCTGAAATGTGTATTGTTGCATAATGGAAATACATTTGCTTCGCTTCCAATCGGACATACTACGAAATTTAAAAGAAGAATACCAAAATATTAAAATTGTTTTAGAGAAGATTTCGTATGCACAACATCAGTGGTCAGTATGCGTGGACTTGAAGATGGTGAATTTTTTATTGGGCCAGCAAGGTGGTTATACTAAATACCCCTGTTTCATATGTCTATGGGATAGTCGTGCAAAAGATGAACATTGGTTAGAAAGGACTGGCCTTTGAGAGAAAATATGGAGGTAGGAAAAGCAAATGTGATTAATAAACCACTGATAAGTCGAGAAAAAATCATTCTTCCACCACTTCACATCAAGCTTGGACTAATGAAACAATTTATTAAAGCCCTTGATAGGAACGGTAACTGTTTTAAATATGTATGTCAAAAATTTCCAGCCCTAAGTATGGAAAAATTAAAAGCAGGTATCTTCGATGGACCGCAAATCCGTACTCTTATGAAAGACAATACATTCATAAACCATATGACACAAATTGAATCTGAAGCTTGGCGAAGCTATGTTTTAGTAGTCAAAAATTTTTTGGGAAATCATAAGGCACCAAACTATTCAGCAATAGTTGCTAATATGCTTCAAAATTTTAATAGGCTGGGAGCTAATATAAGCATAAAAGTGCATTTTTTATACAGCCATTTGGACAGATTCCCAGATAACCTGGGCGATTACAGTAAGAACAAGGAGAACGGTTTCACCAGGATATTAATATAATGGAAGAACCATACCAAGGTCGATGGGATATCCACATGTTAGCAGACTACTACTGGGCCTTAAAAAGGGATTGTCCTGAGCAAACACATAGTAGAAAAAGTTACAGAAAAAGTTTTTTGTAATTTTTTTTTTCAAATGTAGGTAAACAACATATATATTTTTTATTTTTATATACTTTGGTAAATGCGCTCAATAAAAATAAATTTTTAGTTCCCAATGGTGTTGTAGTGAAGTTTTTTTAATGAAATCTTTTAATCGTCTTTATCTCAAAAACTAGAGCCAACTTAACAAATCTGATATTTTGCACGCATTCAGCACATTGTTCTTATAGAAAATTGACTTTAACCTACTATGCCGCAAAATGACTGTTCCCCAGTGAATCGTTACCATGTTGTTTCTAAAGTAGCTAAGGTTTTAATTTGGAATTTTTCAGATTGTGGTGAAACAGTGATACAGTAAAATATACGTAATACTATGAAAATTGTTTGCAAATATAGTTTGAACTATTTCTTCTAAAAAATTTGTCTATTTGTAGTCTATTTTGTTATCTTTGTACACTGCCACTAAAAATACTTCTAGTTAGTAGTAATCCTGATATAAAAAACGTATTTCTGGCTTAAAGGAATATTTTTCTTTTCTGTTTTTCCGTAGGTAGAACATTAGAAATCCACTTTATTTAAAGCACTTTTACACCCTGCACCAACCTTCGCATTTACATGGCTCAAACAAATTATTAGATTTTTGCCGACACGCCAAGCCCCAATTTCGGCAAAAACGTCAACAAAATATATTATTTCCCTCATGTGCACTAAAGTACATAAAGGGAACGACGTTTCGGCAAGGTGAAATGCTATTGTGGGTCGTTTACGTAATAGCACAAAATCTGAAAAAGCTGTCGGTATCATAAAAAGTTTTGTTGGTGGAAGAACTACTTTATGTTTTGTGTTCTATATGAGTTACCTTAAAGACTAAAAAAAAATAAATATAAAGTGAACCCGTTGAAGTGTGAACTAGTTTTTAGTTGGATGATTTTTATGACATATTTTACATGATTTAGATGTTTTAAGTCATAATATTTTGTCCTAGAATGCTTACGGACTTCACTACATATACTTAAATTTGGGCACGTTCGTAACATCAGATGTGGAAATTATGTTATATTTTTTTTAAGTATCCATGGTTCACACTTTCCCGTCAATTTGGGGTAAGTGAGACAATGGACTTCAGCTTACAATAGCCTGTGTTATTTTTCAGCTTACAATAGTTAACTAGTCAGTTAGCCCTAGACTCCAACACAGATCAGAGGTAATGTAAGTCAATAAAACCTCACCAACTACAGGGGGTCATATAAGATGCCCCCAGTTTCATTTTTTTATATTACACAAGTCAAGAGTCTATTGCATTTACCTGAATAAATAACATGAAGACTATTATTTTTTAAATCCAGATGTCCATCGAATGTTTTTTATGTGGCCAGACAATGTTTTTTTAACAACCTTTTTTATTAAACTGATGATGGAATGATACAATTCCGAAAAGATCTTCTTTATAATAAAAAAATTTTAAGCTTTTAATAAGCGCCTTTTTTATACCTTAATACACACGAACACCACGTGCTTTGAATCCTTAAGTCACTTAGGAAGCTAATTATCTTCATCATCGTATGCACACAAGATGTCTATAGGTCGAATTGCAGTGAAGCTACATGGCCTTAACGACCTCACATAATCTAGTCTAATCTAGGTATTTATAATTATATAAATATTTTATAGAATAGCAGATTTCAAATTTTACTTGTACTATAGATAGTATTTGGATAAAATTCTTACCTTATGTAAAATAACTAACAAGTCGTCAAATTTTCCGTGCAAATCACCACACACCGTCAACTGTTTCGTTATCCCTGTCGATGCTACGTTAACGTTGGGTAGTTTTTTCAAGTAGATTATCGACCGTTTCAAAATATCTGCTACGTCTTTGGGGGGCAATCGGTAATGCTGTAAACAAAAAAGGGATTATTATTTTATGTATAATTAATTATTAATAGGGTCGGGATAGGTAAGGAGGCAGAGTGTTTGACTTCCACGCAGAAACCCGGGGATTGAATCCCAGCATTAATGAGAACATCTAGATACTTTTACTTAAGTCCCAGGTCGACCTTTCTGAAATACAATCAGCACCTTGGATAAAACCAAGGATTCAGAGCAAAAAATGAAACTATGGAGATGAGTTCTTCAGGAAAAAGTTCAAAACTTATTAGCACAAAAACAGAGTATTTTTTAATATTCATTTAATGGTGGTATTATTACAAATCAAATAAAATGATAACTGTAGAGCGTGATGTGATTGTGAACAGTGATAGTTTTAAACACCTAGCATCGATATGGAGAGATGGGTGAAGTGGTAGTAAGCAAATGGTGTGCGCTATGACCTAAAAATTTCAAAATTCCATTAATTTATTTCTAAACTGTCAAAGGTAGTTAGTTTCGGTGTTGCTTTAAATTTTTCGTCAAATCTGTAATGGATTTTCGTTTCGGAAAAAACCATTTTTTCATGGGAAAATGTGTAGTATTGAGGCAGTTAATTATGCAGTAAGTGAAGTGAGGTTGGGTTTGAAATTCCAGAGAGGAGCAGACGCGGCGTAGTTAGTTGCAAGGAACCGGCAAATTTGTAGTAAAAAAGTAAATTATACTCGACTGTAATGTGCCAGTCTTTGAAAGAGTAATCACTGTTTTGTTTCATGCCGTCTCTTATCTGCCTTCTATCAACTTTGAAGAATACCCACATGGTTCCATTGTGTTTAAATTTTTAAGAAGCCAAGTTCCAAAGGTTGCGTCCAGTGCCCAACTTCCATCGTCATTTTGTTTGTCCCAGTAGCCGTTCGCAAACGTTTCCGTTGTTTTGTTGAGGAGGTTTTTGTAGATGCTTTTGGCTTGATTGGTCTGGGATGTGAGGATGTGTGTGAGTTAATTGAGGGTCTGAGTGATGCACAGGAGTTGGCTTGTATAAGATCGAATGGGAGGTATGAAAGAAAACAACCATACTAGTGGAATGAGCAGCTTGAAAATTTGAGGACAAAACTGCATGAGAGTAAGAAGGGAGTGTAAGAGGTTAAGAAGAATACAAGCAGTAGATTTGGAAGAGAGAATAAATGAATTAAAGCGAATGCAGAATGAATATAGGAATGAGATAAGAAGATCTAAGAAAGAAAGATGGAGTAACCTGCTTCGGGATTTTAAAATGGATATCTGGGGCAGGGCTTTAAAATTGTCTGTACCGAATTGAAGGTGAAAAAGACACCCCACCCCCTGCCTAAGGAGGAGAAAGTCCGTTTAATACGGGAACTCTTTTCTCAGGTGGAGGATAGGCGTGAAAGGGTTATTGGTTTCGTAGATGCGGAACCTTTCACTAAGTTCTAAGTCGGTGAGGCTGTTGGATGGATAAAGATCCGAAAAGTACCTGGCATAGATGGAGTCATGCCGGAGAGAGTAAGAATCGCCGCACTAAAATACCCGCAGGTTTTTCTAAGATTGCTAAACAAACTGCTTGAACAACAACAGTTTCTAACAAGGTTGAAAGAAACTAAGGTTTTCCTTATACCGAAAGGTAAAGGTCAAGAAGAAGAGGTACGATTTCGGCCAATTTGCCTCCTTAGTTCGATAGCTAAATCGTACGAACAGCTTATAAAAGGCCGCCTTGAGCTAGAGCTAGAAGAAAATCATGCGCTGAGCGATCGATTTCCGGTAATAATTTATTTAATACATTTGTAAAATTTACTAGAACGATTTTAAACATCAGGGATAATTTTGTCATAATAAAATGGCTCATTATATTCTTATACCTCGTAAAACTTCAATTTCAGCGTCTGGCAATGCAGGATTTTAGATGATTGCTCCTAAATCATTGAAAGCAAACTTTAAAAATCAAAAGCTAGTTATATAAAGCGATAATTAGGAATACGCTGTGTTACAACGTACTATTTTACATAAAAAGCTCTTTTCCAATAGATTTTCCACGATTGAAAATATTTATTCGGTAAACGGCAAAAACGATTTTTTTTTAATATGCACGGTATTTTACAGGAAAATAATTGAAAATACGACAAACAAATACAATAACAAGGTACTTCATACGATTCGGAATAGATTGTTTCGTAAAAATTTAAATGAAAAAGGTAATCTAAACTGAGTTTTTATTGAAATATTTTAATTATTTTGGAAGTAGATAAGCACTTGAAAAGTCGTTATTTTCTACAATAATACAAAGTAGTGACTTCCTAAGACAGAAGAGTCTTTTATTTCAGTTTGTCGCTTTTAATTATTCATAAAATATTGACATAAGCCAATATTACATTATATTGACATAAGCCAATATTACGTATATAAAGAGTGGCCAATTAAGTAATTGTTTTAATCATATACGCGGTTTGTTAAAAAGTATGAATTTTATGTACCTATATCGACAATAATATTTTTTGACAAGTCACGTATACGACTAAAAAATTTAATATTTGATGAATGTATTTTAGGTTTTAGAACAAGCAGAAGTTTTTGTATACAACTTTATTTCATAATATACAGTGGTGAGTGCTTTATCACCCGGCTTTTTAACGTTAGAGATAGAAAACACAGTTACCTTGTGAAATAAAACTCGTAGAGGTGGGAAATAATCGATAGAAACCTATAATTTACATTACATTGCATTAACACTATCGATAGTCTCACACCTTTAGACGTTAGCTTCCAGCTAAATCACCTCGGTCCTAATTATTATTTGTGACGTCGTATGTGTAACGTATTTCAGTGACATTTTTTAATTTCGCATAAAGTAAAAAATGATTGACCACAATAAAGCAAAAATGTGTATAAAATAAATTAATTAATAGTGATTATTTAATCTAAAGTTTTAAATTATTACCCAAAAATAATTTCTATGATTTGAGGAGTTTCATACACTCTTGTCACGGAAATAAACATCAGTCCTTCGTGGATTAGTGGTAAGAATTCGACACTGCGACGCAGACGATTAAAGTTCAAAACCCATATGTGGTTTTCTTTTTTTTTTTTAATAATTTGAAATTATGCAGAGATCGTTTTGATTTGACATCAGTCAGTCGTTACTAGTATTACAAGTGTTTAAAGTTACACATAAATATCTTTTTGAATTTGAATTATTTTGTATTTCCGTTTTATAACATTGGAATAAAAATAAATTGTAAATAATGAGTTTTTTCGAAAACTTATTACCTAATAACGCTAATAATGTATAATATTTTCTATTATTTTTTGATGGAGTAAAACAAAAATTTTATCCTTGATGGGAATTAAACCCCAATTTTCTTGTCAATAGACCACGTGTCTAATAATTACACCAACTCCACATACAATAAATGTTTTCGGACAGAACATACCCTTTAGTGTAGTCAAATATTTCAGTTGAGTTATTTTTATTATTAAATAAACCCAAAGATTTATAATTTAAAATCGCTACTAATTAATGTTTTTTACTTTAATTTTTAATTTATTTAATCATTTATTCTTACATCAGAAATTATTAAAATAAAATATTTTCGCGGTCATCCGTATAATTATGACTGAAGTCAGATAGTCACGTCTAAGAACTAGCTTTATCTCATTCTTTCTCACAAAATCCATCCTCTATCCTTTCCGCTATTTTGCCGGGTTTTAAAGCGACTTTAAACACTTCTAATACTATAATAACGTCTAAAGGTGTGAGACTATCGACGGTGGTAATGTAATGTATTGTAAATTATAGGTTTCTATCGATTATTTCCCACCTTTACGAATTTCATCTCTTTTATTTCACAAGGTAACTGTGTTTTCTATCTCTTACGTTAAAAAGCCGGGTGATAAAGCACTCACCACTGTATACTTGAGTGCAAAACAATCGACTCAAAAGCGATATTTGAGATTACACCTTCTGTTTTAATGTAAGAAGTATAAAAATAACAAAATGTAATGTGCGAAGAGTAACTTTATTATTGAACTTACAAAAACTGCTATTTCATTATTTGGAAGAAACATTATAAAAACAATATGCAATACGAACAGAGTTTCTCAAATATTCATCATTGGAACTATCCCAAGAAAGCCGTAATGAACAGAGAAAATATCAATTACAAAATGAATTTTGTTTTTCAGTATCTGATATAACCACCTCTATTCTTAATTACACTTTCCAATCGATTTCGCATGGATTGGATGACCTTTCTAATAAATTCTTGAGGCATTGCTTCCCATTCATCATTTAGCCCAGCTCTCAACTCCATTATGCTCCTTGGTGCATGATTTCTGCTCCGGATCCTTCGTTTAATCTCATCCCAAATATGCTCTATTGGATTTATGTCCGGACTCAAAGCAGGCCAATTTATTGTAGGTATACCGATCTCAGTCAGATAGGTGGTGGTGACTTGTGCGGTATGACATCGTGCATTATCATGCAATAAAATAGAGGCATTACCAATAAATCCCACCTATGGAATCACATGTTCCTCCAAAATATCTCTGATGTAACGATCCGCCGTTAAACCTTCTCCACGTTCTCTACCAGGCACGAAAACCAGCTCGGTTTTCCCATACATGGAAGCGCCTGCCCAAAACATACAAAAACCGCCTCCATATGACACAATTTCTCGTATAGAACATTGAGCAAATCGTTCCCCTGGCCTTCTATAGACTCGACGCCTCTTGTCGTTCCCATGTAGGCAGATCCAACTTTCTTTCGTCGGAGAATAATACCTGACTCCATTGATAGTCGTCCCAATCCAGATGTTCGCGAGCAAATTCTAGTCTCTGCTTCTGGGCTGCTGTTAGCTTGGGACCAGTAGCTACCCTTTTTGGTGTCAGGTTGGCTACTTTCAGTCTAATTTTGACTGTCCAAACGCTGGTAACCACACCTCGGAGCTCCAAACATGGCGCCTAGCATGTTACCTAATCCAACGGTAACTTAAACATCTCAACATATTATAAGAAATACTGTAAACTAAATGTAATTAATTATTTGTTAATGGGTTTTTACCCATATATTTAGTGGCTACATTCATGTACTCCTAGACACTGATGATGGAATATGGATTACGAAAACGTTTTGTCTAACTTAGCCCGTTTGGCTTTTTAAATATATACCTTTTACAAAGGATTTTTAATATTTTTTTTATATGGCGCAATAGTAAAATTCGTGTAGCTACAAGAGGTGCCACCTATTTTGATGACGATGAACGAAACACGATTGAATAAAAGCTATTTGAAGAAGGTAAAGTTTCCACTTCAGCAAAAGCTTTGCTATCGCTATAGTGACTTAAAAGGCCATATATATATGGCACAATCATATTCTTCGCATAGCTCAGAGGATAGAAACCGATTTTCTGAAATCGTGTTTGATTCATCGTCACCAAAATAGGTGGCACCTCTTGTTGTTACCAGTTTATAAAGTTTATTAGAAAAGCAGTTCATTTTTTCTGTCGTTTATTTATACCAGAACAGAAGAGTGATATAAAATGATTATGGACGATGTCCTGTACATTCCTGCCACTATTTTAGAAAGTGAAGACGAGTCTGAACCTGAAAAACGTTCTGGTTATATTCATCTCACCCACGATGCAAAGCAAGTCGTGCTTAACGTTTACAATGGTAAGTACTCGTTAAAAATACTCTTTAGTTAGCCTTCCTAATACCGGGTTTAAAACGACCAGTAACAGGTGTGGCGACTTCTTGCCCCAGTAGTTTGATTCACTTTTAAGCGCAAGGATTCTATGTATCTCATTGATCTTACTATTTTTCAACTCTTTATTATCTGTATACTTTGTTTAGTACCAATTCAACAAATTAAAAATCAAAGACAGAAGACAGTCACACTCAGAAACTTACCAAATAAACAGGAAATTTGAGCAAATATTAGATATCTGACGTACTTATGGCAAATTCCACTGTACAAATTATTAGAGAAACAATCTAGACAAAAATATGCTAATAGAAAAATTATAAAAGTTTCCACTGTGTAATAGCCAAAATGAAATTTTAAATATAAAGGAACTGCACATCAGGGCAAGTAATTAGTATTGTCATTAATAACCACTTTCCAAAACTTTCGTCTAAATTAATACAATCAGATTTGTAGAACGTGAAAACACTCGACACCACATGGGGCGAATTCTCGCCTCACATACATTTCCACGAAATCCGACGAGAATATTAAATTTTCTGTTTGCAGTATTTTGGGTTTTAATACTTCTTTGTGCTCGTAATACATCAACTATTAATGGACTAAACCATCAAAGCGATTAAATAAACTTAATTACAGATATTAATAAAATTGTTAGAAACGAGAATTCGCCTCACCCGGTATTAGGAAGGTTAATCATATTTACCGATTAATTAATTTATGAAAAACACAGATTTTTTCATTGCTACATACGCAGCTAAGAGATGGACTTGTCACAATCAACCTGTCAATCCAGGAAAAGCTTCGTATAAAAGACAGGCTATTAAAAAATAAACCGATCATACCTCAACTACTTCGGCCACATAGCCCGAAGAACGGGGATTGTGGAACTATTGATAATAGAACAAAAGCTAGAAGGCCAAAGACTAACACGATGGGCACACCAAATGAAGACTTTAGTGCGAAGATCCCTACATGGAGCCGTCCATCTGGAACATAATCGCAGTCAATGTGGACAGTGGATCAGCGTTTTACTGATTTCCATTATATCATATTGAGTCTCTTTCTTTTATGGATGGCATTAACAATTTGCCTGCTTCGTACATGATCTTGTTGTTTCAGATGCATATTTTAATAAACTTTTTATATGATCTTGATGTTTCAGATGCATATTTTAATAAACTTTTTAGATGTTCTAAGTGCGTCATTTCCTTCTTACTTGGAGATTTCGCTAGCTAAATACCTGGTAGGCCCCCATGGTTTTCTTGTATTATTTCTTCCCCAACGGATCTTGCACTCCATTATACATGATTAGTAGTCTTCACTCTCCAAGCTATAGCTATGCTAAATGTACAAGAGATATTCATATGCATTTGTGCTATGTGGTTTCTTTTTGTGTTCTACATCCTTACACCGTTGAACTATTTCTCGGTTCACCTGCCTTTAGGGCCAGTTTCCCAATCTTAAGCAAAAATAGTGTCGTACCGCGATATACTATACCGACTATTTAAGAGAAAATAATGTGGTATATAGCTGGTTCCTTTATCAAAACAATAATGGTATCTAACATATCTAAGCGTAACAATATCTAAATATTGCTACGCGTTATTAACATTTGAGTGAGCAATCCTCATTTAAAGTTAAGGTTCAGAAATCCGTTATATCCCTAACAATTGTAGATATCACAAAAAAGTGAACTTGTAGGAATTTTGCAGCAAAATATTTTTAATTACGTCTGTAATAAAATAGTTTTATTTCGTCCGGTGTTTTGTTGCACTCGCCTTACCCTAAAGACTGCGCCGCATTTTTAATACCATATTTTATGCTCGCCTTAACTCGTACTCGATTTCACACTTGGTGGCTTTTACAAAGCGCAAGATACACAAATTACTACACACTTTTTATTCATCAGCGGCTTCCCGAGCTTCGTCGTTATTGGGCCAATTTCTGGCCCTAGAGTGGAGTGGGTGTGAAAAACAGAATTAATTTCAGATTAGCAGGCTTGTCGTCTGTATGAAATGTATTCGAATAAATCTTTTAAATCCACACAGAAAAAAAGTCAAATGAAATATTCGGTTCGGTCGATGGTGATTGCGGATTTTTGGTAATTTAAATTTATGGCTTCGACAAGTCTTAATTTATTTCTGTATTAGAGGGTAAATTCATTGCGGAATCTCTGTACATATACAGCAGTGCCAACGAGAAATTTGAATAAAAAAATAAAACTTGCTTTTCAAACAAATTAGCCTGACAATCCATTTATTAAAAGTAAGTATTATAATATTAAATACATAAATATGTGGACATTTCAGAAAACATACCAATAATTAGATACACATGATAGAGACGTTTAAAAGAATACAGTACATAATACAAGAAGAGATCGGAAAAGTGAGACCAACACAATAAATAATAATATCAGGGGACTTAAATGGAAGAACAGGGAAACGACAAAATGATAGCACGATAGGCCGTTTTGGAGAAGATGTGACAAACGATAATGGAGAAAGACTAATTGACCTGTGCGAACTGAACAATCTGAAAATTACTAACGGCTTTTTCAGACATGAGGACATACATAAATACGCGTATGTACAAACAACGAGAAACATCAGATCCATTATTGATTACATAATTGTCAGCAAAAGTAGTACTATCAAAATTAGAGATACCCGAGTAAAGAGAGAAGCCGAATGTGGCACTAACCACGGATTAATAATTTCACAAATGGGGTTTCCCTACACGTTGAACACCCAAACTAGAAGGAAGAAAGAACACAAAGAAGACCAAGTAGAAAATGAACAGAAAGGAGAAGAAATGAAGTACAACATAAATTTACTTCAAGAGGAATCCATAAGGGACCTATATCAGACAAGACTGGACCAGAAGTTACAGGATTTCGGTTTCAGAAACGTCAAAGAAACGTATGTTATTAAAAGTGGTATTAAAAGAAGATGAAGAGGGCAACACCGACTAAAATAATTTTTTTTCAGTTGTGAATTTTATTGTAGTAGAAGGCAAGAACGGTATTTATTGTAAGAACGAGTTCGCTATTGATTGTATTAGAGTTAGCTGAAATTTTAGTAGTTATTTCAAACATCCGTTTACACTACTATTTTTTCTATTAAGGGGTATATGTTTACTTAACAAATTGGTTACCTATACTCACACGATGCTTCCTGAATATTTCTATCAGCTGAATCAGCGCTTTTTCCGTGTAGGGATATTCTAGTTGGTAGTGCGACAGTTTTCTTTTTTCTTCCGGTTCGTAGTATTCCTCGTCGGGTGACTCATCGTCGAATTCTAGATTTAAGTTTTCTGAAATAAAATAACTTGTAAATGTTTATTATTTTCTTACAGATGTCAATATATATATATATATATATATATATAATATATATATATATATATATATATATATATATATAATTTAATACTTAAAAAAAATCTCTCAGACCCAAAACCCTCAGACATTCTAATAAGTTTCACGTCCTTTCACCTTTCACTTCTTAGTTTTAACATTGTTTAGAAGAAATCCAAAGCTTTTCTTCCTTACATCAAAGTTGTCATTGAAAAAATCGATAAAATTCTCAAATTAAAGATAATATTTACCCCTCAACAAAAGCTTTCAGCTCTTGTCGTATTTGTCAAAGATACAAAGCCAAATGAACAACATGGAGTATACGAAATTCCTTAAAGTGCAGACTGGTCACGACCTTACATGGACCAAACCAAATCTAAAATCCAAAATAGAATTTTTAAAATTTCGTTTCTGTTCGCAATTCCGAATTATTTTTAGCTCTAGGTTAGATCGTTTTCATACAGGCCACAAAATTGATTTTGAAAACTTTAATTACATAGACAGAAATACGCAGTCCCGAACAACTATTCCGATTAGCGGAAGACCGTAAACCACTCACCAATGTAATGGCCAACTTTACGGGACCCTAATAAGGTACTTAAAGGAGAAAAAAAAAACCCATGTCACCCACCCTTTCTACAAAACCAAAAATTGTCGGAAAGGCCATGGGGAATAAAAAACGCCCAAATTGTCTTAATAAAAGAGTTGATGACATTTGGTTGCCTCCAATATCTCTTTTAAAGTAAAACATCGTTCTACTAATTAGTTTACCAACACAATTCGAGCCATAAAGGAGTGAGTGGGTAACTGCTTGCATATTCACTCCGGAACAACGGCGGCGCGGAGTCTGAGAGCGCTTGCGCTGAAATAGCTGATACACAGTTTACCCACCTACTTGCTGAAAATCAACGAGGCCTGGCCGTTGACCAGCACTAATTAGTACGGGGTTTCAGTAGAATATACTGGCCACATATTACCTGCTTGGCTAATACAGCTTTCAGGAACAAGAGCCACTAGACAGTATACTTCGCTTTAGTGGGCGTCCAACGAGGAACCCCATAGCATCGTGGTATACGCAAATCTTTAGGTAAAAATAGCCATTGTCAATAACCTGTACATACTACTAGTGGAGGAAGCCTTTTACTCGAGGAGTTTATACTGCCCCTCAGCTTTGGGATACTGCAGAGTCCCTGGTGGTCTACTAGTGTATATACTTCAGCCTCTCTGAAATGCCTGGATCAACCAGGTCCACAATTTTAACGGTGTGTAACCCGTTCACAGACCGCCGTCCTTTCGACAAACCTCTATACCCATCTCCAGCAGGATAACGACGATATCCCTGATCTAAGCTATAACCTCTACAGTTCAGCTAATGATCTTTTAACTATGCATACGAAGCTAGTCGCCCTCCAAGCTTGTTTCAACATGAAACGAAATTAGATTGAGAAGAACGACCCTTACAACAAAATTTTATCAGAATTCGACTTTTCGACCCTCGATCTTCTGATTAATTTTCGATCTTCTGACCGAAAACTCTTCATATCTTTATCTGAAAAACCACAACATTCAAATTCTCACAATCACAGACACTCTTTGTCGCAACATATATCATTTGCAGGATATACTACCATCCATCGAAACCAATGTCAGGTTTCCTGCGGGAACGGTATTCTCATCAAACATGGACTATCACACTCACTACAAAACCACTGAACAGTGTATTGAAATGATCTGGGAGCCCAGGAGTTTGAGACACCCTTGGACCTAGTTTAGTTAAGTATGGATGTAAAAGTAGAGTATAGTGCTCAGAATAGTGCGTGTATAAAAGGATAAACCTTAAAATATTCATGATCATGACCTTAAAATATTATCGTTTTTAATCTTAAGTTAAAAAAATTGCCTATTGGTCTAAAATAATGTCAGATTGATACTGATTGATCGATGAAAAATACTGAGTGATAAAATAACTTCAAAATGAGTATTACTTGCCATATAATCTATAAAATGCTATTTAAAGTATCGTACTGTAAGATGTTATCTTACGAAATGGTATTAGATCAGTATTTTTATTGATTACGTCATTAAAACATCATAAAACTATGAAGATTTGACTTGGTTAAAAAATATTATTATATTGATTTTATGGCTTAGAAAATAGTAGTTGTTCAATAGGTACTTACCTAAGGAAGCATTTTTGGAGTTTGTCGGATCTACTTCTCGTTCTGTTTGGGGAATGTGTGTCAGCAAAGCATTGAAGAAATTGTACAACTGAAAAAAAAAGGATGGATTAAATATTAAATTAAATATAAAATTTAACACTAACATTGTTAATATTATAATTAAGTGAAGTGCATAAATTAGGCCATGAATGTTTTAAGAAAATTTACTCAGAAATGTGCAGAAATCGGAAAAAGCTTTATTTAAATAAAACTTATATCTGTATATTACAATCTCTAAAGAATAATATTAAAATAGGGATAAAAGCTGATGGTCTTCTACATATAGCATGCAACTTTGTACATGTACGATGTTTGTTGCAGAACAGTTTGGATGTTACTAAAGTATATTTCAAGAAGAATTTAAAAAACGAGAATATTAAATACTCAATGCAATAAGACAGGAAGATTCAGTTAGACCTATGCTATAGATGAAGTCATAAAGAGCATGAATAAAGGAAGAGGATACAAAATGGAGGACAATAAAATTTAAATTTTTTGTTATGCAGACGATGCAATACTGATAGCCCAATATGAAGATAGCCTTCAAAGACTAGTTACACAGATTTAATACAATAGCTACGTAATGCGAAGTGACAAAACATGTGAAGTGTTAAAAGCAATTAAAACTAATCATACAAGCAAAAGCACCTAGCGTAATTAGTCCTTGAAAAAAAAACTCTGCAGTTTAAAAAAGCCGAGGACCTGGTTTCAAAATATATTTATTACAGATTTTTTCCACAGTGTGTAGCATGATTTTTTTCCCTTTAAATATTAAATACGAAATGTATAAAAAAATTATTTGATACGACCCTGGCTGATGCATGCCAGTAATCTGAAGCTGTTTACATGTTCCTGCAAAAATTTCCAGCACCTTTAAGCTTCAATTTCAAATCCAAAGCATCACAGAAGAGAGATCCGATCAGCTGCGAGTAAACTCAAGAAGGTGATTTAAGCTCACTATGCCATGTGACAATCTTTGTAAAATGAGTTAATCACCATTTTGTTGTATGTTCTATCCTGTCACAAGGGATTTGATAACATCGTCCTGAGGGCTAAGAGAGCCGACATAGTTTTAAGTAGAAAATAAGTAGCAGAGTTTAAATAATCACATATTGTTATCATTCAGGATAACCTGAAGTCCAGTTTTGGTATTTGATTTGATTTCTCCCAGGATTTGTTCAGTCTTCATCCAATTTGTATCTTCCAAAGGTCAGGTTTTGATTGTTTAAAGTTTGTGGGACAATGTTTTTTATTCAAATGTAGGGTAACAAAATTTATTTTTAATAATTTAAAATGAAATAATTAGCCAGTGAAGCAGGTAGTTTTATTAAAATTTTTCTAAATAAACATCTATGGTTAATGCAAAAATATTTGCTCCCATGTCAATTTCATAAGTTTATAAATATAAGTTTTATAGATCAGTTAACTGTCATATTTTAGTTTCTTTTAAAAAAGATTAACCATTGGTAATTAATTATTAATTCGGAAAAGTTTGGTATTTTATTTTGATATATGACGGTTAGTACATCTTTCCGCCATTTTGTACATAACCATAGTTTTATTTCTGTTTTGTTAGAACGTTTAACTCAATGTAATGTTGATAAATTTGGATTTTTTTATATTAACTTTTTATGTACAATAAAAATAAATATGTATATAAAAACTATTTTCTTAAACTAGAAGTTAAAAAAATATTTCTTTAAAAAAGATATTCGAACAAAAATCCTTCTAAGCAGCAAATAGTTTTTTTAAAGATTGTACTAATTTTAAATAGTTCCGACATCTTCTTATATAGTGTTGCCCGGGTCATCTCTATAAGTATTTCTTCATTTCTTTTTCGTAGTTAGTTATCCCAGTGCTCAAAAATATGGAATACTTATGCACGAACTTGCTCTCCAACCAAAACACAAGTAGCCGTTCGCAAACGTTTCATTTTTTTGCTTATCCTATCCCTAAGCTCAGTAATTGTTCAGTCCCCGTGTAGCGTTTACGCTACTGATTAACCCCTCACGAAAATTTTTGTGTTCCGCCAGCGATCGATTTTTAAATGGATATTTTTCCCCACACGCGCAGTAGTCTCTTAAAAAGGAAGATTGGACGAGTCTGTACGAGAACGATCAGTTTTGGTCAGAACTCGTGAACGCAGACACGCCAACCGGTGAAATTTTTTCACCTTCAAAGTGACGGAATTGGAACAAGGAAAATAATTTGGGGAAGAATAAATTAATTCATAAATAAAATAGATATAATAATAATTAATTTTTAAAATCAATATTTATAAGAGTTTCACATAAAAGGAAGATTTTTTTGGCGTGCTGCGGCTCCATGTAAGTAAATCATTTCATACGTATTATCTCTTTATCATATAATCAAATTTATCCTTGCAGTTTAGTATTTCTTAATAGATTTATTTTTGAGTTCCGAAATAATTTAAATTTAAAATTTCCTTCATTCACGCGCAAAGAACATAAGGTCATTTTTTATATAGTCAAACTTAAATTCCGATCTATTCCATATCTTATCAGTAAGTTTTTTGGTTCTTTTTTTCTCTAACTTTTTTTGGTGGAATATACAAGGTTTCTACAGCCTTCTGTGTTCTGCGCGTGTTCATTTCATGGCGCAAGCCTGTCACGTCTACGAAATGAACTTCGGAAATTTTGACATGTTGACTTAACCTGTTTTGATGTTTTGTTTTGGTGCAGTCAATCCATGCTGCTACACCTATTGAATTGCATTTATTAAATTACATAACCTTTTTAGATTCCGTCACTTCACTTGAGAGTATTCTCTTGAGAATATTCCCTCAAGGATATTAGTAACTTTGAATCCTTAAATAGTTAACAACTTGGTTATGGAGTTACCGATTTCTCGGAGCAGATAGACCAGTGCCTGGTTTGACTAAATTAGACTCCCCTGTGTTTGTCCTTACAGCCAAAAACTGTTGTAACCGTGCCAAGAGGAATTTTCCTATGGACTTATGGGGCTGTAAAGATAAGTTGTTTGACTGTGTAATTTTTTTTGTTACTATCTATTTTGTTAACTTTTCATATGCATATGATCAAGTGACTACATTTTGATAAAATATAATTTTGATCGCCATATGATAGCCATATCTTTAGTATTTTCATCACCTCTCTTCCAGTTCTTCTGGAATTTGGAAGTTCTACACTTCCTAAAATCCAATACTCCCGGAGTATTGAGGTTTCACCCGCTTAACCCGCTGTAAGCAGTTATAAATGTTACAACTGCCGCCAACACAGTAAAAGTAACCATGATGGCCAACATTCGAAAACGAATCGACAATCACATAAGAAAAACCGTCTTTCTTAAAAAGTGTTATAACTCCTCAAGAAGTGTTACCTACGATAATTTTGTGGAGCATTGTATGTTTGCATGATGCTTTTTAAAAATGATAATTTACTATTAAAAGCTCACAATGCTGTTGAAAACTTGTAAAACTGCGCATAAAGAACTATTAAACACAAACTACAGCAGTCAATTAGAGCAGTACAATAAAAATTCGCTATTTTTACCAGTTTTAATGAAATGGCAACATATAATGACTGCTATAAAATGGCGTATCAAAATATGATGACATTTGACCTTTTTTATTGACTGTATGCAACAAAATTTAAAATTTGCTTGAAACACGCTATACAAAGTTTTATTATAGTTTTATTATTTTGTAATACATAAAAGAATAATGCTATTGGTAGAATATTATTTACGGCATCTTTTATTGTACCTATGCTATTAGCATTTTAATGTTTCAACTCTTTTGTGAAGTTGGACAATAACGCGATACCATAATTTATAAAGTAATTTTAGAAAAGCAACCTATCAAACAAGTTTATTCAGTTGTGAATAAAGAAAGTAGATCTTTCTGGTATGATGACCAAATCTTAATGACATCCTGTGCAAATTTATATTATATATATTATACTCATATTTAAAGAAAAAGTTGCTCTAATGTATTTTTTAATGTTTGACAGCACATTAAAGTGATAGAAATGTATTCACTTAGTAAATCATAGGCGTGCACAGTACAGAGTTTATTTTAATTAATAAACTTAACAGAAATATTTTTATTTTGATTTTAATTGGTTTATTTATTTTTTAAATAAAATAAAAATTTTAAACAAAATATATATAGCGTGCAATGACACTGGTTTGAAAAGTAATTATATGTATATTATAACAATATATCTATCGACGTATGCTTTAAAAACACACACAACTGACACTTTAAACCAACAGCGTTGTGCGAGTTACAGTGAAATGACCGCTACCATCCAGTCAATTCTACCACGTGGATTCAACATGGGGCTACCGATTGAACATTCTGGACTGAATTGCGAAGTATTGGACAGCAAGGTCAGCAATTATAAAATTATAAAACACCATTTAAAAATCAATATTTTTCAGTTTGATTTTAATTTATTGTGTTGTTACTAAAATTTTTAAAAGTGTTTTTCCCAAGAACATTCATAGTTGGCGCAATCAGTAGGATGTAGAAAAGTCTTTATAGATCCCGTTACTATTAAGTGTTTGTCCACTGTTCCAAGAACCAGCCCCAAGGAAACCGTCTGCAGACTTCACCCAGAAGCCTTTATCCTGTAAGCGATTTTTATTATTACCTAGAATTAGGAAGATTATATTTTGAAAGAAATTTTTATTAAATCAGACTCCTCTGAGTCCTTAGATTGAATCAGAGCTAGATTAGAAGATAGATTAAACAAAGATTTGAATAGATTTACAGGAAAATTAAAATAATTAAAATAATTAAAAAATATCTCCTCTAAGTCCTTATATTGACTTTAGAGTCAGATTCAGAACTTATTTAAATAGATAAATAAATTAAGACAAATTTGAATATCTTAATAAATACTATATATTAATAAACATAGAGATTAATAAATAGAAAATAAGTAGATTAAGATTGATATATATATATATATATATATATATATATATATAGTGCCAAAATTGCCAAAATTGATATATATATATATATATATATATATATATATATATATATATATATATATA